CGCCGCCTCCGAAAAGGTTGAAATGTATTTAATATACTACCTAACGAGTAAATATGTTTCATTCATATCTGTTACGTAATTGTATGATTGAATGAAATAGAAATTACTTCATTAGGAAATAGAAATTATTTTATACTTTTTAGTGCATTTCGAAGTCGGTATATTTTTTTTCTGAAAATTATTTTATACATTCCTACATCTCTAAACGTCTACATATATTATCAAATTCAAAGATGTCGATATACTGTATTATAGTACTATACTATGTTATCAAGTCCAAATTTCCAACACCCAAACCTCTTTTCTGAATTCTCCAGTTCCCAAATCCAACTTCCAAGTTTCCAAACCACCAAATTTTTAAATTCTCCAATTTCTACTCCTATCAATTTCCAAATCTGATATTAAGTTTACTCAAATAATTGCTTTCTCTATTCATGCCAATAACTCCAATGAAGTGAACAATGTACATAAACTGTACAATAATCTGATCAATATACAGCTCTTCATACCAAACATAAAAATTAAATTTTTTCTTCCATAACTATTATAGTACATCAAAGAATATAAAATACCTTAGCACAGGTAGCACACTTAATCAAAATACAATATAATACAGCGATTACATGAAAAATAACATCGCATAGCACATCAAAATATAATAAAAATAAAATAGTTCTAACTCGGCGAGTATATGAAAAATAAAATGATCATATCACAATACATCGAATATGATAAAAATTCATACAAAATTTATGACGTAGGACTACATGAAAAATTAACATCTTCCCTCCATAATACGTCAAAATGCAATAAAAAGATGAGTTATAACTCAGCAAGTATATGAAAAATAAAATCATCAAATAATAGTATATCAAATACAAAAATTCGTGAAAAAGTTATAACGATTGCGTGAAAAATAAAGTGTATACAAAAAAAAATAGATGTACAAAATGATTTATGTAACCGCGTGTATAAAAGCAAATTCGAACATCCGGTACGTGGTGTACCTGTTGTAACACATCGACCGGGCCCTTCAATCATTCAATAATTTTAACAGAACGGTTTGTTAGTTGTTTGCTTTGCAAACAACTCGTAGCAGACAAACTGAGAATAGGGTAATAGTTCAATTGAACCTTTGAGAGTGTGCCCGTTGATCGTAGAGAATTGTTTGAACAGCGATTGTTCGTCAGCAGTCATTAGACGATACAAACAGGCAGGTGGCATGTCGGGTTGAACGACTGCTTTTAGCTTTACGACCTTATACCAATGATTAAACAGAGAAATTTCGACTATTATGCGCATGCAGCCCAGTTGGAAACCCCGTGGCATTTATAGGGTGAGTAATAGTTCCATATTTAGAGCATATTCGGCACAGAGGCTCGTTCACATTTTATCCTCCTGTTAGGACCTTTGTATTTTGTTTTACATTTGTCAAACGCTTTGTGAAATCTTGTTATTCTGTTATTTTGAAAGAAGTTAAGAGTACTTTTTTGTAAATTAATTTTATTTATGGTGTTTATATGGAGGCTGGATGATAATTATATTTAATTATATTTTTTTAAAGGAATAAATTCTGATAATTATGTCAAAATTTTGTTAGAAAATGTATCAAACGTGTATCAAGTCAGTTAATTCATCAGTTATATCAAATATACATCTCTATTTAAAATAAAATATTCATATCGTCAATTATGACACCAATATTTAATATTATTTTAACTCCACTATTTCACATATATATTTAGAACCTTGTACGATAAAAATTTGTTAAATTGTAGACGGAAGGTATCGAGATGAGACCAGGATTGCCAGGACATAAAGGTGAAACCGGTACTCCAGGAAGTCCAGGACCAAAAGGTGAACCAGGAATTGCGGGTGCCAAAGGAAACAAAGGAGAACCAGGGCACAAAGGCGCCGAAGGTGCACACGGAAAAGAAGGACCTAGAGGAATTCAAGGATTTAAGGGTGAACCAGGTGCTCCTGGAGCACCGGGACTTCCTGGTGCACCGGGTGAAAATGGGAGACCGGCAGAAAAAGGCGATAAAGGAGATACGGGACCGGAAGGGAAACCAGGACCTCCTGGAATACCTGGGCCCCCGGGACTACCTGGAATAACCGGCCCAGGAGGTGTTAGTGTTGGAGATTCGGGTAAGATTTTGGAAATAAAATACTACTGTCCCTAGCCTTGGAATTAGGATTACGTAAAATTTCACTTTCATGGCTATAATTGTGTCATATGTGGAAAATCTTAGGTCATGTAAAATTATTACTAAATACGTTAATAACATATACATAGCAATTTGTTATCGTGATAATAAATTGTGTGATGAGCGATTAAGAGTCGTGCGAGTGTTTACGTTAGGCTCGAGTATCGATAGCGTTAGAGGTGAAATTTGAATGCCACAGAAAATATCTGCCTATTCAAAAGACTAGTTTACAACTCTCCAACCACATTATCCGAGTTAAAAAGAATTACAGATATTTGGGAAAATAATGAAGATATAAAGCATATGATCAATGTATACAGAGCATGTCCGATATTAGCTGTGTCCAAAGCAAAGGGTGGAAATACAAGATATTAACATGTGTTAATGTTATTTATAGTAGTATTGTATCATGGTAGCTTATAAATTATATAATTACAATTTAAACACGCCTTTTAATTTTACGGAAAACGTGAAAAATGTTGGAAATTTGTAGTGGTAATTCGGTGCCCAGGAACTGTACTTAATAAGCAGTGAAAAGAGGTTATGTTGGCGTTATGCTAGCTATCTTTAAACAAAATGACTCCATATGTTTTAAAATGGCTGCCCTCAAACATTGATATTGACTAGTATTTTTGCTATTATTTTTGTGTTTGATATTAACACATGTTAATGTCATGTACAGTAGTAGTATCAGGAGTAGCTAATATATTATATAATTACAATTCGAACTAATTTTATGGAAAACGTGCGAAATGCTGACAATTTATAGTGATCCTAATTCGATTGTTAGGGATGGTAGTTTAATGTTACTGTAATATGAAATTAAAGGGTGTTGGAGAAAAGTAATGGCGTCTTTTAATATCAACAAATTAAATTTTTAATAAATTGTTATTTTTAATTAGTGATGTAAACAACCTCGTTATCAACTACCCTTATTTTAAATAAAATATTTATTTAATCTTATTAAACTACATATATACTTAAACATACAGAAAGATATACACAAGTAAAAGAAACATTTTTATATTAAATAATTTTGTCTGAGAAGTACATCAATCATAAAAATGCGAATTTTTTACTTGATTATTTAATCTTGATATTTCACCAGTTTCACAATTATGTTACATATAATAAACTGAAGTATTATACGTATATTACAAATAACTCATTCATAATGGATTCCCATTACCAATTCATCGACGTTTCAGCCCACTTTTGAATACGCAATAATATAATAGATATTAGGTTCATCATTATAATGTGTAATGTGCTTACAATGAACCTGTAGTATTTGATTAATCGATTATTTAAACTACGCTTCGAATGTATTATAAACTATCATGATAGTTTACGATAATAAATTAAATTTTAAATGATACACTATAGATGCTTAAAATGTATACGTATAATAAGTGTTACTATGATACACATTCTAAAATTTCTAAAATTTCGAAGTTCAAAAATTCAGTAAGTTTTGAGTCTCAAACTTTCAAAATTTCAATCTCTTATTTTTATTATCTACTTCTCTCAAAATCTCAAAGTTTCAAAATTCCAAACTCTCAATGTCTCAAATTTCCAAAATTTCAAGCTTCTAAATCTCCATAGTATAAAAATTTCAAGTTATAAAAATTCCAGAGGTCTAAAGTTAAACAAGGTTGCAAACTCACATTTAAAAAATCTAAATAATAATATTTGAATAATCATAGACCAAATTCATACTTGAATAAAGCAAAATAATTACATTTGAATTACTGTCTAAATTAACTATATTAAAATTACCAACCCCCCTTAAAACCACCTCAATGCACCAAAGGATCCCAAACCAAACTATATGCATCCCTGACCTGTCAACTCCATACACCTCTGCCAGAAGCTCCGTATAAAATTATATTGTTTAATCTGTCCGATTAATTAGTGTTAAGGGCAAAAGGTGACAAAGGTGAAGCGGGCGCTCGAGGATTCAAAGGGGACAAGGGCACCAAAGGCGAGAAAGGAGATAAAGGTGATTTTGGTCCAGCTGGAATTCCCGGTGTGAATGGCATTCAAGGACCTCAGGGCAACAAAGGCGAACCGGGCAAGGATGGAGTTCCAGGAGCCCCGGGAATCGTTGGTGTAAAGGGTGAAAAAGGTGACAGAGGACCACCAGGAGCCACGGCCATAGCCAGTTCGGGTGACTACATCACCGTGAAGGGTGAAAAAGGTGCTGAAGGGAAAAGGGGGAGAAGAGGACGTCCTGGACCTGTAGGACCACCTGGGAAGCCTGGAGTTATGGGCGAAATTGGATTACCTGGTTGGGTGGTACGTGAAAAATTTTTATCTTTCGATCGAACAACTTCTTCGCTATATAGTGTTCAAATTTTATTTTATGTGAAAAAACGGGTTTAAAGAGTTAACCCTTAGTTATATTACTGTTCTTTTATTTGATGTAAAGGAGACAGATTTAGGGAATTATTTTACTTTGGATTATTTGTCTGTGGGTTTACGTTAATCCTCAATTATACCGCTGTTCAAATTTTATTTTATACGAGGAAGACAGATTTATGGAATTATTTTACTTTGGATTATTTGTCTGAAAAAGTCATTTCATATTTGAAATCAACCCCCAACGTCAATTATATTGCTGTTCAAATTTTATTTTTCGTGAAGGAGACAGATTTCGGGAATTATTTTACTTTGGATTATTTATCTGAAAAAGTCGATTTACTTTTGGAATCAACCCCCAACGTCAATTATATTGCCATTCAAATTTTATTTTATATGAAGGAGACAGATTTAGGGAATTATTTTGCTTTGAATTATTTATCTGAACGAATCATTTTACATTTGGTATCAGCCCTCAACGTCAGTCATATTGCTGTTCAAATTTTATTTTATGTGAAGGAGATAGATTTACGGAATTAGTTTACTTTTGAATATTTATTTAAACAAGTGGTTTTGCATGTAGGGGTCATCCTTAATTATACTGCTGTTCAAATTTTTATTTTATGTGAAGAAGTCAGGTTTGAAGAATTATTTTACTTTGAATTATTTATTTAAATGGCGAGGGTAGTTTTGCATCTAGGGTTAATCTTTAATTATGCTGTCGCTCAAATTTTATTTTATGTGCAGAAGTCAGGTTTGAAGAATTATTTTATTTTAGATTATTTATTTAAATGATGAGGGTGGTATTATACTTGGGGTTACCCTTTAACTGTATTATTGCTTAAATTTTATTTTACATAATAACAAAAATTCAAAGAAATAATTTATTTTTATTATCTACTTCAATGACTGATTTCACAACTAGGATTAACCCTTAGCTATAGCGATGTTTTTTTACTTACGTAACAAGAAATATTCAAATTCTTATGTTATTTTTATTATTCATTTAAATGAATAGTTTCGCAACTACCCTTAACTATAATGATGTTTAATTTTTATTTTAAATAGCAAGAAAGGATTATTTTATTTTTATTATTCATTTGAATGAGTAATTTTACAACTCTTAATTAGAGCTGTTTAATTTTTATTTTACATAACAATTATTTTTACTTGTAAATAGATCTAAATTTTTCAATTTTAGTCCTTTCAACCCTATTAAAGATTGACAAACAATTTTGTAAATTATATATACTTTCGCAATTCTAAAGTTATATCAATTTTTTTCCACTGCTGCAGAACAATTTGAAAGTAAGTACTGCAACTTTTCAAATGAATAATTATAATAAATAAACTCCTTTTTATTAACACGAGTTTTCGAAAAATTATAAACATTATTCGTAATCTGTGAGGTAAATTAAATATTGTTTTTTCAATTCGAAGCATTTTAAATTATATCGAATGAACTTGACTGTTTCAAGTTTGATGACGAATCTAGTTCATTTTGAAAGTGGCTTAAGTCCATTTTTTATAAAAATACATTCACTTAACAGTTGCTATTATTTTAACAGGAATTGTAAATTTAACTCTCGATACACTTTAGTATGATATATATATCGTAGGGAAATGATAAAACTGGGATTCGATCAAATCCCTAAAGTATATGATCAATTCACGGAAGATGTTAAAATAACTCTTCAGATACAAATTCAGTCAGAGACCGAATGATTGATTCTCTTCTATATTTGAACTCATTTTTCTACGGTAGTACCTTGATAAAACTCAAAATATGGCAAACCTGACCATACATAACAATAATAAAAAACAAGATATTATTATATTAAGGTATTTGATCAAATCCCTTACTTTCTTTAGGGAAATCACCCCACACAGTTAACATCTTCCATAAATTAATCATATACTTTACATATTTGATCAAATGCCTATTTTCATCATTTCCCTATGACATACACCTATATTTTTAATTCCATTGAAACCTCTGAAATATCTCATTTTAAACATAAACTTGGCTCACTTTCAAAATAAACGTCTCCTAAAAAAATTTAATTGATTCCCAAGAACTTGTTTGAATTTGAATGTTCGTTTCAAGCAAACAGCCAAACCGCAAAATCACGTTAATCAGCTATTTACATCGAACGCAGAGCGTGATAATTAGATTAGAAAATTAGGAATCAAAGTAATCGAACGAATGTACGGTAGATTGATCTGCATGCGAGTTTAATTAAAGGGTTAATGAGCGTGGAATATTCATGAACGTGAAGGTAGGACGTGAACTCTATGTATCGGTAACTACTTCTAACAGGGTCGTCCTGGACTTCCTGGACCTGTTGGACCGGCAGGACCCAAGGGAGAAAAAGGAGAGCCTGGAACACCGAGCCCTTATGGAGTTTCAGTCGGTGTAAGTACAATTTACAGTTTCTCGTCAGAATCTAGAACTGCAAACGTCCAATGGTGATGCTCCTGGGGCAAACGTTACGTCCAAACTAACGCCATACTTGTTTTCACGTAATATGTGCAGTGCAATTTATTTACGCTATCATTCAAAACTTTCGATACTCTTGATAAATTTCGAATGAACTGCAGGATTACTATTGCGATTGTTAGAGGAACTTGTTAACCACTGCTCTCGACGTGTATACGCGCCAGGATCTATGTGGTTATTTCTGTAAATGTGATAGAAATAACTTCGAATTCTTTAGTTTTTATAGTTGCAGAGTTTAGATTTATAAATCGTTAGTTTCTAAATTTTGAGAAATTTTTACAAATTTCCGAATTCTCTGACTTATTTTTAATGTGTGAACTCTGTAGTTTCTAAATTCCCAAATCCTCCAATTTTTAAATTTCTAAAGTACAGATTCTCAAATTCTGTAATTTCTAAATTTTCAAGTTCTCCAGTTTCTATATTCTATAATTCTTTAACTTCTAAATTCCTAAATTCTCTAATTTTTAAATTTCCAAAATTCAAATTCCCAAATTCTATCATTTCTAAATTTTCAAAACACAAATTTTCAAACTTCCTAACTTTCAAATCCCTATACTCACAAATTCCCAAATTCCCAAGCTCAAAATTAAAGAAATTTTTCAATTTCGATATTTTTTATCAAACAATCATAAATTAATTCTGATTAATTTATCAACAAAATTTTAAATAAAAAACACTAACTATTCTACTCTAAAAGGATAATATACAAAACTTTTCATTCTCTACAAAGAACAGCTTTGTATGTATTATGCTAATGCTTAGAATGGTCTACCGGAAGTATAAGATTGAAATTAATGCCCGGTAAAAAAAGGAAAAAGGCTATCAGAGAATTTTTAGCGTGACACGAGTAAGAATAATAGATGCATGTTTTATCCTTATAGTAATAGGTGTCAGGTCAAAAATGAAGATGTGTACGGTAATCTATTATATATAATCTCTTGCAAACTTTTGAATATTGTTCAAAATGACATTTTGCGTAGAAAAATATTTAATATTCACGAGAGTTTATGATTTAACATATTATGTAACAGTTTAAATAATCATTTATATGATTTAATATGATTTTTAATATAATATATGATTTTTTAGAAATTTTGAAAATCGACTACTGCATTTTATTTTTCAGTTTTATGGCATTTGAAAGTTTATACCTTAAACCTTCTGCTTACGTATAAGAAAATCTTATTACCTCTGTAATTAGAAATAGTGAAATTTGAAATTTTTGTAATTATTTAAAATTCTTAAGTCAAGTTTCTTAAGTTCCTAATTTACCAATGTTCAAATTTCAAACATTTTACAAATTAATAAATTTCTGCGATTTTTAAATTCTCAAATTCTCAAATTTTCAAATTGTCAAGTATCCAAATCCTGAAACTATGATATTCCAAACTTAAAAAATTGTTAAGTTATCAAGCTTTCAAATTTCCAAATTTTTTAATTCAGAAAATATCAATTTTCCAAAGTTTGTTTTTAAACATATACTTAAAAATTTGGTGAATTTGCTTTTATTGAACTTGATGAACTTGTTGAATTTGTTGAATTTGTTGAATTTGTTGAATTTGTTGAATTTGTTGAATTTGTTGAATTTGTTGAATTTGTTGAATTTGTTGAATTTGTTGAATTTGTTGAATTTGTTGAATTTGTTGAATTTGTTGAATTTGTTGAATTTGTTGAATTTGTTGAATTTGTTGAATTTGTTGAATTTGTTGAATTTGTTGAATTTGTTGAATTTGTTGAATTTGTTGAATTTGTTGAATTTGTTGAATTTGTTGAATTTGTTGAATTTGTTGAATTTGTTGAATTTGTTGAATTTGTTGAATTTGTTGAATTTGTTGAATTTGTTGAATTTGTTGAATTTGTTGAATTTGTTGAATTTGTTGAATTTGTTGAATTTGTTGAATTTGTTGAATTTGTTGAATTTGTTGAATTTGTTGAATTTGTTGAATTTGTTGAATTTGTTGAATTTGTTGAATTTGTTGAATTTGTTGAATTTGTTGAATTTGTTGAATTTGTTGAATTTGTTGAATTTGTTGAATTTGTTGAATTTGTTGAATTTGTTGAATTTGTTGAATTTGTTGAATTTGTTGAATTTGTTGAATTTGTTGAATTTGTTGAATTTGTTGAATTTGTTGAATTTGTTGAATTTGTTGAATTTGTTGAATTTGTTGAATTTGTTGAATTTGTTGAATTTGTTGAATTTGTTGAATTTGTTGAATTTGTTGAATTTGTTGAATTTGTTGAATTTGTTGAATTTGTTGAATTTGTTGAATTTGTTGAATTTGTTGAATTTGTTGAATTTGTTGAATTTGTTGAATTTGTTGAATTTGTTGAATTTGTTGAATTTGTTGAATTTGTTGAATTTGTTGAATTTGTTGAATTTGTTGAATTTGTTGAATTTGTTGAATTTGTTGAATTTGTTGAATTTGTTGAATTTGTTGAATTTGTTGAATTTGTTGAATTTGTTGAATTTGTTGAATTTGTTGAATTTGTTGAATTTGTTGAATTTGTTGAATTTGTTGAATTTGTTGAATTTGTTGAATTTGTTGAATTTGTTGAATTTGTTGAATTTGTTGAATTTGTTGAATTTGTTGAATTTGTTGAATTTGTTGAATTTGTTGAATTTGTTGAATTTGTTGAATTTGTTGAATTTCTTGAATGCCTTGAATTTCTTGAATTTCTCGAATTTTCTGAATTCCTTGAATTTCTAGAATTCCTTGAATTTCTAGAATTTCTAGAATTTCTAGAATTTCTTGAATTTCTTGAATTTGTCGATTTGAGTTGAATTTGATGAATTTAATAAATTGGATGAATTGGATAAATTAATGAATTTAATGTTATTGATAAGTTTGATGAACATAATGGTTTTAATGAATTTAATCATTGTATTGAATTTAATGAATTTAATGAATTTGATCAATTTTAAGAACTTGATGAATTTGAATTCAAAAGTTTGTAAAGTAAGAATTTCGATACATGTAGAATATTAAAAATGACTCTATTATAATTTCTCTATTAGAAAGTGCACTACCCAAAGATTATTAATTATTAAATCCAACCTCCCTCCGCTATATCGGTATTTTCCCTCAAGAATTTCCTAAATACCATTTTCTTAAAGAGTTTCCCCAAAACTATTTCTCTAAACAATTTCCTAAAAATCATTTCCCAAAAGAATTTTCTAAAAGTCATTTTCTTAAAGAATCTTCTAAAAACCATTTTCCTATAAAATCAATGCCAATAAATAAACTGTGATCAAATAGAAATACTGTTTCACAAATTGTGGAATAACGTGAATCTTTGAAAACGTTTAACAGTGATCATGGATCATCCTGTACATCGAACGAGGTGTAAAACTCGAGAAATGATAGAAATTAATGCAAGTGTGCTCTCGACGCCTGCCTCTCGTTTTATTACATTCCTTTTTTTTTTTATTTTCGTCGGTTACCGAAGCCACGACTCAATTTATTCGACGCCCCAAACAGAAATTCGTCGAAAATTTCCTCGACATCCTGACAACTGACAAGCACGACCGAATGCGCTTGGCAGAGTTTAATTCACTACACTTTGGTTTAAAAGCCATGCAAATATAAGGCAAATTTGAAGCTTTTATCGCATGTTCGATAGGAGAACACGTTTTGAGGTTTATACCAATTTGTATTTGGCGTTGATCGTTAAAAATCTGTATTTTCTTTATCACTTCATGTTTCGTATAGAAAAACGATTTATGTTACAGTGAATTATTAATTGTTATTATAATTTGATATAACCGGAGGGTTAAGAGTGGCTAGGTGGAGTTTACACACACGCGTTTACGTTTGAAATTAATTACAAGAAACGGAAAAGACTTTATTTAGATAATAGTTAAAAATCATGGGAGAGTATAATAAAATATAATAAATTTTAAAGAGTTACAATAAATTATAACAATAAATTGCAATAAGTTATAGTAAAATCCCAAAGTTTCAAATTCCAAAAAAGAAACGATCCTAAAAGTCCCAATACCTCAAAATTCTGAAATCCTGAATTCTCTAATTAGAATTCTTAAGAATCACAAATTCAAAACTTCCAACAATTAAACGTGTCTGTTTGGCTCCAAAATAATGTACAGATAAAAGGTGACAAAGGAGACGATGGTTTTCCTGGAATTCCTGGACAGCCCGGTAGAGATGGTCAGAGAGGACCTCCAGGACCACCTGGACCACCTGGGCCACCATCACAAGGAAACTACATTCCGGTTCCGGGACCCCCAGGACCTCCTGGACCACCAGGACCACCTGGACTATCATTAATTGGACAAAAAGGAGAGCCAGGAATCGGCAGAAGCCACATATTCGGTGAAAGGGATTACTATGGTGTTAGACAAGGTAAATTAACGTGTACAGACTCTTTCAGAACAGATAGTAAATATAATGCTTTGAAAAATAGCAGTATGGACTATTTCGAGTGAAATTTCAGTAAATTACTAAAATTAGTAAGGTGAAGTGGGGTAAGTGCAGACTGGTTTTTGTAAAGTTGGTATTTAAACGTAAGTATTTTCAGTCTGCTATGCAAATACTTAACATTGTCGATATCGAACACTTTGCACAATTACTACTGTTTAATTAATATTAACTAGGACCTTAATTTTCCTTGTACATTTTGAGTTTGATACGAAATTGTTTAAAATGTCAACTACTCTGCACTTTCCCCGAAAATGGGGTAAGAGCGTAACTTGAAGTTAAATACTTTGGAACTTTATTTCATGTGCAATGGGGCAAGAGCAGAGTTATTAACAAATCTGCTATAAAATGCTTTTTACTGCATTACGCAAGTACTCTATACTGCAAACAAGTACGCTTAGCCGAAATATAAAAGGGGATATAGTGAAACAAAACAAAGAAACAAACATA